ATTCATTTTGACACATTACTTTACATATCTGTAGCACAACAGGGCAGAAACATGACTCGTTGGGGCTGTCCCTCTTTTAGAACCAAATCCCTGTGTCCTCTTCAGTTGTCCCTCTCTTTGTTATGATGTAAAGACATCTATGCAAAAAACATATCACCTATCAAAAGTGTTTTAGCACACTAAATTGTCCATCCAGCATCTAAATCAGTGGTCTCCAAACTGTGGCTCATGGGCCAGATGTTGTCCTTTGCTTGCCTTTTTCTGACCCTTAGGACACTAATCCTCCAAACTGATACGAAGCACTATTACTCTCACTGACACTGACACTGATACACCATTCCTTCTCCTAACACCAACAGTGGGGCATTTGTCCTTCTACTGACACCAACTATGGGCATAATTTCTCCCTCCGATAGCAATGATTGGGCAGCATTATTCTCACTGGTATCAATGATGGGGTACTATTCCTTCCACTATTACCAAAGATGGGACACCATTCCTCCTTCTTCTGAACACAGGAGCTATGAAATGTATTTATCCCCACTGACCACCTGGTGGCGCTACTGATGGGTATTACCTTCAGTGATTTCCTGTGATATATGTTTCTACCTTCAGTCTGGTGTATTGGAGGAGCTGGGAATTTTTGGAAAAGGTAAAGGGCAAAGAACAGAGCACCCATCCTAATCAGCGGCTCCTGCAGAGGCAGCGCTATATAGGTATAGTTCCGAATACCTTGTTCCCTCCTGCACGTGAGAATCCACAAGCCTTTAGATAGTGGCAACTGAGAGGTATTAAACATATATTTGACCTCTTAATGGAATAAAACAATTTCAATATCTTAGAGAGTGCTTAAAATTGCTCCATACGGAAAAGCTACATGCAAATAAGACATTATACAGCCTTATTAGGCAATATACAGATTGCCTGATATGTTAAACACCATTTAAAAACTTCTGCCTAAAAACCCCCATTCAAAAGACCTTGTCTCTGCTCTATATACTGCCATTACTGATTTCAAAAGCCCCTCAAAGCTTCAACAGAATAATGGGACCTGGATTTGGTAGAATCCCTACATCAGGCTGATTTCAATACAAACTGGGTTGCTGTAGCGAATTTCTCACCTAATGTTAGGTGCCTCTCCAGACTGCTTTTAGGGAAACTGGTACCCTTCTTCTACAGATTTTGGTGGCACTGTCCTAAAACTAGCCAATTCTAAACCAAAATATATAATATGCTAAAGTCAGTTTTGAATTACAGTCTGACATGGAACCCATGGGAAGCTGAAATTGTGATTCTTGCAGCCAGGCAAACATTGATTAATTCTTGGAAACAACCAACTATCAATTTTATAGAAGTGAAATAAAGGCAAAAGGGCATCATGGTGCGGGAGACGCTTACTGCAACAATCTTACTCAAAATCTGGTCCACATGGCTAGACTGTAATAACCAAATGAACCTCGGTTGCTTTCGTCTTGACGTCCGCAATGCATATATAAACATTGTGGTTCTCAAGTGGTTTACCGGCGTTATGGCTGATGATATCAACCATAACCCTGGTATCTTGTTTTTTAGCTGACAGCCGGCTTTCTGATGAAAGTGGTTTGAGTGGCTCATTAGCCACTGGAACTCTTTCAGTATCAATGGGAAGGGACAATCCCCTCCTTCCGCCACTTCTTGGGCTTACTGTTAAAACCAGCACCTGAGAAACGATTTGACAGTGTGGCCGGCTACTCCCAGAGGTGATGAGAGACTCTATGGTCTCTGATCGCCTCTATGTTGTGGGAGGACCAGAGCAACGTCATGATGTCACATCCGGTCCCGATCGGATGTAAACAATTTTTTTTCTTGTTTAAAGCAAAATATATAAAAAGAGTTTTTTTTAATCCTTTGCTTTTAACGGTAAAGGAGAGATTTGGGGTCTTTTTGACCCCAGATCTCCCCTTAGAGAGGACCTGTCATGCTTATTTCTGTTACAAGGGATATTTACATTCCTTGTATTAGGAATAAAAGTGATTTAAAAAAATACAATAAAGGGATAGTGTAAAAATTAAAAAAAAAGAAAAAAACACATTTTAAAATGCCCCCATCTCTCTGTGATCGCACGCAGAAGTGAACACATGTAAGTCGCACACGCATATGTAAACGGTGTTCACAGCACACATGTGAGGTATTGCAGCAAACGTTAGAGTGAGAGCAATAATCCTAGTGCTAGACCTCCTCTGTAACTCTAAACAGGTAACCTGTAAAAAATGTTTACCTATGGAGATTTTTAAGTACCGTAGTTTGTTGTCATTCAAGCATGCACAATTTTAAAGTGGGACATGTTAGGTATCTGTTTACTCCCTGTAACATCCTCGTTCAACTTTTGGAAAAAAATTGGGGTATATATTGTGTTTTGTTTTTTTTTTTTTTTTTTCAATTCACTAGTGTTTTTTCTCAAAAAATTGTGCTTGAAAAGCCGCTGTGCAAATACCATTTGACATAATAAAACTGCAAGGATCACCATTTCATTCTCTATGGTCTTTGCACACAAAAAAACATATATTGTATAATATTTGGGGGTTATAAGTCATATTCTAGCACAAAATACTGATTTAAACTTGTAAACAAAACGTGCCAGAAAATGTTTCGTCTTTGGTTACCTTCCAGAGCAATGGGGTGGCCGCGTGCTCGACTGGGTTCAAATACAGTAATGAAAAAGAAATTCTGTCTAGAACACAGTACTAGAGAATATTAAGTATAGTGTAACAATGTAACAAAACCTCACTCTGGAAATAAACAAACAAATGTCTCTCAGTAAAAAAGAAACAAAAGTGTCTCTTATGATCAGTTCACACTGCTGTGACTTGGGACCCGACTTGCGAGACCCCAAGTCGCATGACATGTGAAATCCCATGTTAGTCAATAAAAGCTGTCCTAATTAGCACTACTGAAGTCACTCCGCCTTTGGAAAAGGTTCCTGTACTACTTTAAGGCGACTTCTAACCGACTTGTGCCCTAAGACTGTAAGACTCCAAGTTGGATCCTCATCTACACTCTATTGCCAAAAGTATTGGGATGCCTGCCTTTACATGCACATAAACTTTAATAGCATCCCAGTCTTTGTTTGTAGGGTTCAATATTGAGTTGGCCCACCCTTTCCAGCTGTAACAGCTTCAACTCTTCTGGGAAGGCTGTCCACAAAGTCTAGGAGTGTGTATATGGGAATGTTTGACCATTCTTCCCGAAGCGCATTTGTGAGGTCAGGCACTGATGTCAGTCAAGAAGGCGGCCTGGCTCACAGTCTCTGCTCTAATTCATCCTAAAAGTGTTCTATTGGGTTGAGGTCAGGACTTGCCAGAGAAGCATGATTTATCACTCCAGAGAACATGTCTCCATTGCTCTAGAGTCCAGTGGCGGCATGCTTTACACCACTGCATATGACGCTTTGCATTACACTTGGTGATGTAGGGCTTGGATGCAGCTGCTTGGACATGGAAACCCATTCCATGAAGCTATAAAGTCCAGCGCTCTCCCTAAACTGATTACAATGAATTAAATTAAAAAAAATAAAGTGCACACTTAGCTAAAATGCTCTACATAAAATACACACTGCTGAACATATGTATAAGAATAGTGCATATACAAATATGCACATAAACAAAGATAGTGCAAACCATGTGCTTCAAAAGTGAGAATAAAGTGCAATTGGAGATAAAATAAAGTGCAATAAAATCACTCCAATCATCTATTATACATAATAATAAATCTCAAATAAATAAAGTGTCCAAATGCATCAAAAACTAGCAATCTTCATGCATGTTTCACACGTGTCCACACTGTGTGAATCCAAACTTTGGCCGTGATGGCTCCTCATCTCCTTGCCCAGACCCCACAGGGTCAGCTCGCTCAACAACAGGACACCCTTTAGATGACTCGCCAGGACCTTCCCCGCCTCTTACACTCTAACAGCGATCTCCTCCTCCTCGGTTAATATGCAAATGAAAACTCACATAGTGTAATCCTGTTTATTCAATCAGTAGATATAAGATAAAAATTGCCCACTCACATTTAGAATCGTCTTGTAACAAGCCTTCAGTACCCCATGCTATGAATCTCCTGCATGGGTATATGTATACAGGGGTTTCAAGTATGGCCGCCACGCCGGAAATGACGTCACCGCGCTCCCAGAATCCTCCTCGCGTTCCGACGCGTTGCGTCACGGTAACACGTGACTTCCTCAGGGTCACGTGTCACCCTGAGGAAGTCACAGTGTAAGATACGCAACGCGTCGGAACGCGAGGAGGATTCTGGGAGAGCGGTGACCGGCGTCACATTTGAATACATATACTTGTAGGACATAGCCTGAAGGTACAAGACGATTCCCCATGCTATGAACTCCTTACACTATTTTTTTATTTGCATATTTAACCGAGGAGGAGATCGATGTTAGAGTATGGCCGGGAAGGTCCTGGCGAGTCATCTAAAGGGTGTCCATGTTGTTGAGCGAGCTGACCCTGTGGGGTCTGGGCAAGGAGGTGAGGAGCCATCACGGCCAAAGTTGATTCACACAGTGTGGACACGTGTGACACATGCATGAAGATTGCTAGTTTTTGATGCATTTGGACACTTTATTTATTTGAGCGTAATAAGATGATTGGAGTGATTTTATTGCACTTTATTTTATCTCCAATTGCACTTTATTCTCACTTTGGTCTTTGTTTATGTGCATATTTGTATACATATTCTTATCATATGTTCAGCAGTGTGATTTTATGTAGAGCTTTTAGCTAAGTGTGCACTTTATTTTTTTTAATTTAATTCATTGTAATCAGTTTAGGGAGAGCGCTGCACTTTATATTTATATTTATTCACTTATTTTGGTAAAGGAGTTTCGTGTCAGCAGCTTGGTTAATAGGGCCCTATTCTTAGCGCAGGAAGTTCTCGCACTATTCATTCCATGAAGCTCTCTTTAACTGTTGTGCTGATCTGAAGGCCACACAAAGTTTGGAGGTTTTTAGCTATTGACTTTGCAGACAGTTGGTGACTTCTGCACATTGTGCACTTCAGCATGCGCTGACCCTGCTCTGTCCTTTAACGTGGCCTACACTTCGTGGCTGAGTTGCTGTTGTTCCCAGTTGCTTCCACTTTGTTATAATACCACTAACAGTTGACCGTGGAATATTTAGTAGCAAGGAAATTTCACGGATGGACTTACTGCACAGCTGCCAACCTATCACAGTAGCACAATAAAAAGCAAAAATCCTCCTGCGCTGCCACAAACCCTAAAAACACCCCGAGTGGTCGCAGACACCTAATTATTTTCATATAGTTACATAGCTAGACTGGCTGAAAAAAGACAAAAGTCCATTCAGTTCAACCATTAAAAAAAAAGTTATAATCCTATACCCACAGTTGATCCAGAGGAAGGCAAAAAACCCAGTAAAGCATGATCCAATTTACTCCTGCAGGGGAAAAAACTCCCTTCCTGATCCCCCGAGAGGCAATTGGATATTCCCTGGATCAACTTTACCTATAATTGTTAGTAACCGGTTATATTCTGTGTATCCAAGAAAGATAAATCAATCCACTCAGAGCCCTAAGGAAGTCACGTGATTTTGATGTAAAATGTGGTGACATCATTTCCAGTATGGACGGCTACCGCCATCTTGGTACACCTCATTGTGTACACCTCTATGTATTGGAGTTTTTCTTTCCTGTATGGATCTGTGGACCCAGTTTTTATGTGTGTAGTCACTTTGCCTTTTATATCAATAAATGTTTACATATTACATTATGGGAAGTTTCTTGGTTTAATTTTCCATGTGGGGGCCATTGGAGAGGGGATATGTGCCATATCTGTGAGGGAACACCTGAGCCATTACTGCCGGTACGCTTATAAGTGTTTACTATCTCCACCATAGAGGATTACCATGACCATCAATCTAGAGGATACACAGGGATATCATCATTTGAGTGCAATCAAAAGCCTTATGACCCCTTGTGGGTCGCAGCCTTGAGGTGAGCTTGCACTCTAGCTGGTGGAGGATTTGTGGTTTTTGTGGTCACTGGATGGTACACGGCCTTTATTGAAGATACACAGATATATTGAGACTTACACTTTTTCATTGTGGCACTTCACATTTCTTCATTTAGATTTACCAGTGATCACTTCTATTGGTCTCAGATTTATTCATTATTGTCCCTTTTTTACACTGTGTGTTTTCATTTACCTACATTGATTGTTTTGCCCAATATTTTTGTTCACGATTTATTGGGTCACTTATATTTATGACACAGTAATATCATTTGTTCTATGATTTGGTTTTTTAGACTATCACGGTACCACGCTTCAATTCACTGAGCTCCTGAGAGCAACCCATTCTTTTACAAATGTTTGTAGAAGCCGTCTGCATTCCTAGGTGCTTGATTTTTTACATCTGTGGCAATGGAGGTGATTGAAACACCTGAATCCAATGATTTGGAGGGCTGGCCCAATACTTTTGGCAATATAGTGTATATTGATATGATTTGGATCTGACATTACAGGAAGATTACCCAGGCATTCCCTGAAAATTGCTTCAACGTCGTTTCAAAGTTACATCAAGTCGCATCAAAAGTACTCAAGTTGCCAGGAAATCGCCTGGCAAAGTCACACTGTATGTCGCAAGACTTTCAGGTCACAGGAGTGTTCAAGACTTTTTTTTTGCAATTTAACTGTTCAAATTGCATCCAATGATCAGCAACGGAACCGTTTTAATCGGTGCGACTTCGACTTTATTGGAGTTGCACCAATTTGAAAAGAAGTTCGAGCACTACTTTTGCTAATTTTGGGTGTGACTTGCATAGAGATCTGTGCATGAAGTTGCATAATGTATGAAAGTTGCATCCGAAGTCAATTGTCATGCGACTTTGAAATCGTGCGACTTCAAGTGAAGTTGCACAATTTCTAATTCTCATGCAGTGTGAATGGGGGCTTAGTGAATGAATGACGAAATCTTAAAGATTAGCCAGTTCTGTATAACCCCTTATCATCCACCTGACATTGGGCACACACTCGCAACCAAGATTTCCCAGCAATGATGCATTGGGCTTAGTATAATGCATCAAATGGATGGATGGATGGATGAAAACATTGCTCCCAGTGTTAGGCTCTACCTCCAAAGTTTCATCCATGCTGACTTTCTCTCTTGAGAAAGTCAGCATGGACAATCAGCATGGTAACCAATCAGCTTCTAACCTCAGCTTGTTCAATTAAGCTTAATAAAACCTGAAAGCTGATTGGTTTCTATGCAGACGTGAACGAGATTCTGAGTGACCCAGCTTTAGTAAATAAGGTGTCCTTTTATGACACAGAGAATAGCTGCGATTCAACGGATCTCAGCTATTCTCTGGTCATTCACAGTTTATGACACTCAGGAGATCATGTCAGCCCTTCTCTGGAGATCTGTGTTCTCCCTCCAGATTCTCCAGCCCAGAGCTGGAGAATCAGAGGGACCGCAAACTAAGCAGAGATAATTTACCTCTGTTTAGTAAACTGATCTTTTACTGTAATCTCGCGAGATTATAGTAAAATCAGCCGTTTTCCAGAGTTTGTAGACCGTTCTCCGGCGTTTGGAGACCGTTCTCCCTTCGTTCGGAGAACTGCTTCATAAACTGCATTCACAGGAGAACTGTGTTCTCCGAGAATGCCGGAGAACTGAACAGCGATCTATTACCGCTGGTTCGTAAACGGACACCTAAATCCCATTCATTGTGTGACCTGTGAATGAAGAAGGTTGGAGTTGCTAGTGGCCAGATATTGTGATTCTCTGTATGTTTTGAAGCTTGAATCCAGAAAGGCAGGAGGGGATTGTATCCACACTGCACCACAAATGATTCCTCCTTTTGTGTTCGATGGGAAGTACCACAGCCGAGTGCGACCCATTTATGTGAATAGGTCCACACCGTGCAATGTATGGCAATATGGGCTTTTCAGGGTTAAAACCGACCAACCTCCCAGCCTCTGGCCAACTGCCCTCTGAAAATTTATCCGCCACAGATTGCTTTTCAAAGGGGCAGCAAGGACTGCTGCCTTTGTATACAAGCCATTGATTACATGGAGAAAAACTTGTAAAACCACACACAATAATGCACACCAGAAAATCTTTAAATTATTATTATTATACAGTATTTATATAGCACCAATAGTTTTGCTCAGCGCTGTACATTATAATGGGAGACAGTACACGAGACAGTACAGTAACAATGCGATACACGAGAGGTTTGAGGGCCCTGCTCCTTGGAGCTTACAATCTAGGAGGGAGGGGAGAGTGGTACGGGAGGAAATAGCTGTGGGGGATGTAGTGGTGGGAAGAGCAGAGGAGATCAGCAATTAGGTGAGGGCTGGGTAGGCTTCTCTGAAGAGATGGGTTTTCAGGGTGCGCCTAAAGGTGAGGAGGGTAGGTGACAATCTGATGGGATTGGGGGGGTAGTGAGTTCCAGAGGATGGGGGAAGCCCTGTAGAAGTCCTGGAGATGGGCATGGGAGGAGGAGACCAGTGAACTGGAGAGTAGGAGGTCTTGTGAGGAGCGGAGAGTGCGGTTTGGGTGGTAGATGGATATCAGGTCGGTGAGGTAGTTTGGGGGCAGTGTTATGAACAGCTTTGTACGTCAATGTTAATATTTTGAATTTTATGCGTTGGGCAATCGGAAGCCAGTGGAGGGATTGGCAGAAGGGGGAGGCGGATATGGAGCGGTTGGTGAGGTGGATGAGTCTGGCCACAGAATTCAAGATAGATAGCCTGTGATGAGGTAAGCCGGTGAGGAGGGAGTTACAGTAGTCAAGTCAAGATATGATAAGGGAGTGAATGAGTTGCTTTGTAGTTTCTGGAGTTAGGAACGTGTGTATTTTGGAGATGTTGCGGAGGTGGAGTCTGCATGAATTTGTCAGCGATTGGATCTGGGGCTGGAAAGACAGAAATGGGAGGAGAGTATATATAATGACGTTTTATCTATTGTAATCTTACAGACGTACCTTACAAACACCTCAGTTAATGTAATTTTCAGTTTACGAATGAAAATCCACTGAAAATAATGCCTCGGTTTTACGAATTTATTTCGCAATACGAATGGATTAATTGGTTTTCAATGCATTTACGATTTTTTTTTAATCATGTCCCTGTACAGTACAATCCTTTAAAGTGCACTTTACAAAGAGTTTTGAACAGATAAAACTTTTTTTTTTTTACTTTTTTCGGACCTCTGGAACAGATTAATTGGTTTTCAATGCATTTATGAATTCATTTTTAATCATGTCCCTGTACAGTATTTATGCCATTAAAGTGCACTTTATAAAGAGTTTTGAACTGATAAAAGACTTTTTACTTTTTTCTGAGGTACGGAAAGGATTCATTGGTTTTCAATGCATTCATATGGGAAACCACGTTTCGGTTTACAAATGTTTTGCAATATGAAAAGTCCTGCAGAACGCATTAAATTTGCAAACCGAGGTACGCCTGTATGTTATTGCAGTACGAGGGAAGTTGTTGCATGATCTAATGGTGGCCATTTATGATCGATTTGTGATTGATCTAGGAATGAGCAACTGCAAACAAGCAAAGAAACAATCTACTAAAAAAACGATAATTTATTTGATCTGCATCATGACTGGTTGTCAGACACACACATAGCTATTTGTTCAATCGGTCAGAAGCAATTGATGAAATTCCACCGTGGCTGATCGGCCTGCAAGTATCCAAATAAGTTGAAAACTCAATAATTGATTGAATAGAGAGTCTGAGAGTTACAATGCCTACTCAATTTAAGCATTTTATGGTGGCCATACACAGAGCAATTTTCTATACAACTAAATCATCCACCCATTTACTGATCAGGAGAAAATTGTGATTGGAAGATTGATCAGATACAGCTGTACTAATAAAATTGGTTCCATACGATCAGACCATATACTCAAAATCGATCAAAAACAAGATAGAATTGTACAATAAAAACTGATTGAGTCATTTGGATGTGATGTAATTCTATGTGACATACTGTAATCTACAAAAAAAACTTTAAAAAGAAAAAAGGTATCTATATTTTTATTAATTTATTACAGGCACTTATATAGCAGCATCAATTTATTATATAATAGATTACATGTACAATAGTACTTTATTTTTGGTACAGATTAAGCAATACACATTTTAAACTGTCATTCTTAATGTTTATGTACAAGTACATATTTTATGGTATTCACAACAATATTGTCGACCACCCACAGTATTTGTATATTGTATATACTGTGGGTGGGTGGACGGGCAGCAGCTACAGGCTAAGTGATGTACCAGTACATAGGTTAGCACATGCCCATGTCCATAGGACACAGCATATTGCAGTTACTGGTACCTGTCTGCATTGATCGGCCATAACAAAACTGGTATGAATTAATTCTATTCATAACAACTGTGTTTCCTAAAGTGATGGGCCAATCACAACACCCTGTACCATGTGATAGCTGTGGGCCAAGCAAAGATCACAATAGTAAAATCACAGTTGTTATAAATGTATCCCCTTCATGGCAGTTCAAAACATTGCTGTTACAGTAAACTTCACTCTGACAGCAATCAAAGTGTAGAAAAAAAAAAAAACAAAAAACCCCTGATTGCACCCCAGACAAGTACAATGTTACTATGGTGACACTAAACTACATTGATGAAAGTAAAATAAAGTTTAAAAAATTGAATGAATAAATTGTTTTAAAAAAATGTTTTTAGTTTTTTGGGGGTTTTTTTTTCTATACTGTCAGTTAGTGTCCCCTATCACCACCACACCAGTCATATGATGATGCTGTACTGCGCTGGTAACAGTATGTAAAAAATAGTGGAAAAAAAATTATTTCTTAATTTTCAAAAAATTGTGACAAAACAATTACAACCTTGAACACTCGCCATGCCTCCTATGAAATACCTCAGACTGTCTACGTTCCAAAAAGGTAACGAGGGCGGGGGGTTTGTACTGTCTTGACATTTTAAGGCCTCAAGAAATTAGATTAGCCATCAGTTCATCAGAATTGATGACTTTTCGAATATATATCCCATAGTTTGTAGACTCTATAACTTTCACACAGACTGATTAATATACACTTATTGGAATTTTTGTTTACCAAAGACATGTAGCAGAATACATTTTGGACAAAATTTATGACGAAATTTGTTTTTGTTTTTTTTTTGGATATGTTTTATAACAGAATGTAGAAAATATTGCTTTTTTTTTCAAAATTTTTGGCCATTTTTTTGTGTTTATATAATAAAAAAGAAAAAGCCCAGTGGTAATGAAATACCACCAAAGGAAACCTCTATTTGTGTGAAAAAAATAATAAAAATGTTATTTGCTTACAGTGTTGCATGACCACGCAATTGCCAGTTAAAGTAGCGCAGTGCTAAATAGCAAAAAATGGCCTAGTCATGAAGGGGGTAAAACCTTCTGGAACCTAAAGTAGAACTTTAGTCAGAAAATTGAATCCTGCTAGATCACCGCTAGTAATACACTGTCTCACCCTGTTCTGCACATGCTCAATTGCTCTCTATTTTTAGGCACTGTGCTGAAATTCTAGAGGCCGATTTGCTGACAGCTTAACGATTTACTGCTGCGTAGAGGCTCTGGGCTTCAGCAAAATTTCAGCCTCAACAAGCAGAAACAGGAGCAATTCTGGAAGAATTTTACAGCACACACTTTGGTAGTATAATTATTGTACAATGTATGGTCCTTGCATTATTTTGAACATTATTTTTTATTAAATTGTTATGGGTAAAGTTCTGCTTTAAGTGGTTATAATGCTGTGTGAGTTTACCAAACATTGCTATCAAATTTGCCTTGATTAAAAAAGATAACCATATATCAGCCCCCCAAAACCAAATTAATAAAATGAACATTGATACAGTGGCTAAGTGGTTAGCACTTTTCAGCACTGAATTCCTGCATATGTATGGAGTTTGCATGTTCTCCTTGTGTTTATGTGGGTTTTCTTTTGAGTACTGCAGTGTCTTCCCACACACCAGAGACATGTTGGTAGGTAAACTGGCCCTGTTATATGGATGTATGTGAAATAGCGACCTTAGATTGTAAGCTCTTGAGGTCAGGGACTGATATGAATGTACAATATAGCATGTAAAGTGCTACGTAAATTATTGGCGCTATATTAAAAAAATAAATACATGCATAATAAATACATTGTAATAAAGCAATTCTAAATAAATAGTATAAATAACCAGAATTGCATGAAAAGTTTGCTCGAAGTGACGTATACTTAACAATCATATTAATCTATTTACTTTCTTATTGTTGTATTTTCTGTATAGACTGATCAGATGATATCATTGATTTTGCATGAAATTGGTGTCTTTCCAATAATTCATAATTTGCTCATATACATGGATGAAGAAGAAGTTTTAGGGATTTTACATTTTAATCATGAAAGGCAGGGCCAGTGCTAGACTACTTTGCACCCTTGGCAAGACCAGCTACTTGTACCCCCCCACCTTAAAAAGAAAAACAAAAAAAACTTCATCTGTACTTCTACTTCACCCTTTTTAGCATACATCCTCTTTCCCCTTAGATTTTCCACCCTAGCACATATACTCTCCCCCAACAACCCCCCCCCCCAGCACAAATCCCCCTAAATCCCTCCTCATAGCACAACCCCGTCCACAATACCCTTCCCAGCACAAATCCTTCCTCCCATCCAAATCCCCTCTCCTAGTGCAAAACCCCCCTCCTAGCACAACCCCTCCTAGCACAAATCCCTCCTCCTAGCACAAATTCCCTCTCCTATCACAACCCCTTCCTAGTAAAAATCTCCCCTCCTAGCACAACTCCTTCCTAGCAAAAATCCCCCCTCCTAGCACAAATCCCCTCTCCTAGCACAAATCCCCCCTCCTAGCACAACCCATCCCAATCCTCCCTCCTAGCTCAAATCTCCCCTCCTAGCACAACACCTCCTAGCACAAATCCCCACTCCTAGCTCAACACATCCCAACCCCATCCTCCCTCCTAGCTCAACCCCCCCCCCTCCCACAAATCCCCCTCCTAGCACATCCCTTCCAATCTCAATCCCCCTCCTAGTCCTCCCCTCCCCTAACACAAATCCCCCCCCCTCCTAGCACAAATCCCCCCAATCCCTCCTAGCACAAATCCTCCCCCTAGTACAGCCCTCCCCAATCTCAATCCTCCCTCCTAGCACCCCCAATCCTCCCCCCCTAACACAAATCCCCCCAATCCCTTGTCCTAGCTGCCTAGCACGAATTCCCCCCAATCCCACTCCTAGCACAAATCCTCCCACCTAGTACAGCCCTCCCCAATCTCAATCCTCCCTCCTAGCACCCCCCCCCCCCCAATCCTCTCCCCCTAACACAAATCCCCCCAATCCCTTGTCCTAGCACAAATTCCCCCCAATCCCACCTTCTAGCACAAATCCCCCCAATCCCCCCTCCCAGCTCCCACCTAGGACAAATTCCACCAAATCCCTCCTTTAGCTAAAACCCCTCCAAATTTCCCTTCCCAGCATAAACTCCTCCCACCTTACCCAAATCTTCCCCCCTTTAGCAAAAATCTGGGGAAGCATAGCCCACCCCAGCACCCCCCTAGATTCGACCACGGCGAAGAGTAGGGAAACCAGTAGCCGTGGCTGCACCCTAGGCAGTTGCCTAGTTCTCCTAGTGGTAGCACTGACCCTGAGGATAGGCAGGAGGATGTACAGTGCGATGACAGTGCCGCATACTTCTACGCTGCAGCTGGATGTCATTGTGACTCCGCCCCCTTCTATGTAAGTAGATACAAATTGGGAGGAGCCCACTGTGGACTGCTTTGGGTCATCATGGATTGTCATTTCCCTCCACAGTGTGCTTCTGATCCTGTTCAGTGAATGGAGATGAGTGCAGGAGATCTTCTATGATGGGGTGTCCCTGCCCAGATCTCCATCCACATCCATAGACATGGTATAGATGAGTCCCTGTCAGTCCTGCTCCGATCTCCGCACTGAATGTACAAGAAGCCGCCTAGATGGAGGGGCTCCCCGGCATCGTTAATGAGAGGGGATGGCCGATGTGCAGTGACGTCAGACAATGTCATTGCGGAGTGCAGACGTCAGGCTGTCTCCTCCAGTGGTATGCGATGCCGGTTGGGAGGAGGAGGAGATCCGGCGGCTTGGGGGGGAAGTAGCTCGTGCTCCATCAGTGACCCCATCACACTAGAGGCAAGGCTGCATATTGGCAGGTGTCACCAGAGGAGAGGGACCGCTCCGGAGGAGACCAATTCCAGTCCCAGGTAAGAGGAATGTCCCACCATTGTCATATCCACAGGGAGTGCTGAGTGTCAGTCATTATACAGATCTCCTCCTCTCATATAGTATGCCTGGTCTCCTGGATGTGTATGGGGACAACATAGAGATTGCAGACTGATTGGTGCTTTCCCATCACTAACCTCAATCTATAAGTAGTCCTGGGGAAGTGTGGGAACCCATGAGTGTGTGTTGTCACTACACACAATGTGGGGAATTTATCAAAATTGGAGCAGCTGTGCATGGCAGCCAATCAGATTCTAGCTTTTATTTTCAAAGCTGAAAAAAAAAAAGAAGATAGAAACTGATTGGATGTCGTGCAACTGCTCTGAATTCTGTCTGTGCCAGTTCTGATACATTTTTATGCAGCCAGTGCAACATTTGGTTTGTTGGTTGGATGATAATATTTATGTATGAATTCGTAAATACATATTTGTGTTATGGCACATGACTTGGAGGCATGAACTGAGCATCAGTAAAGGACTCTGATCACTAGCATCTACACCTTCACCAGCATTTTCACCAGGATCTTCACCTTCACCAGCATTTTCACCAGGATCTTCACCTTCACCAGCATCGTTACCAGGATCTTCACCTTTACCACCATCTTTACCAGAATCTCTACCTTCACCAGTATCTTTACCAGGATCTTCACCAGCATCTTTACAAGTATCCTCACCTTCACCAGCATCTTTACCAGTATCTTCATCTACACCAGCATCTTTACAAGTATCCTCACCTTCACCAGCATCTTTACCAGTATCTTCATCTACACCAGCATCTTTACCAGTATCATCACCTTCACCAACATCTTTACCAGTATCATCACCAGCATCTTTACAAGTATCCTCACCTTCACCAGCATCTTTACCAGTATCATCACCTTCACCAGCATATTTACCAGTATCTTCATCTACACCAGGAATTCACCAGTATCATCACCTTCACCAGCATATTTACCAAGATCTTGACCTTCACCAGCATCTTTTCCAGGATTTTTACCTTCACCACCATCTTTACCTGGATCTTCACTTTCACCAGCATCTCTACAAGGATCCTCACCTTCACCAGCATCTTTACAGTATCATCACCTTCACCAGCATATTTACCAGTATCTTCACCTACACCAGGAATTCACCAGTATCATCACCTTCACCAACATCATTACCAGGATCTTCATCTTCACCAACATTGTTACCAGGATCTTCACCTTAACCAACATATTTAAAAGGATCTTCACTTTCACCAGCATCTTCAACTTCACCAGGATCTTCACCTTCACCAGCATATTTACCAGTATATTCACCTTCACCAACATTGTTACCAGGGTCTTCACCTTCACCAGCATCATTACCAGGGTCTTCACCTTCACCAGCATCATTACCAGGGTCTTCACCTTCACCAGCATCATTACCAGGATCTTCACCTTCACCAGCATCATTACCAGGGTCTTCACCTTCACCAGCATCATTACCAGGGTCTTCACCTTCACCAGCATCATTACCAGGATCTTCACCTTCACCAGGATTTCACCAGCATCTTCACCTTCACCAACATCGTTACCAGGATCTTCACCTTCACCAACATCTTTACTAAGATCATCTCCTTCACCCGCATCTTTACCAGGATTGTCACCTTCACCAGGATTTCACCAGATCTTCACCTTCTCCATAATCTTTACCTGTATCTTCATTTTCACCAGCATCTTTACAAGGATCTTCACTTTCACCACCAGGATTTCACCAGTACCATCACTTTCACCACCATCTTTACCAGGATCTTCTCCAGGTTTTTGCCATGGTCTTCACCTTCACCAATATCTTTACCAGAATCTTTACCAGCATCTTCACCAGCACCAGGTTGCTTGGGGACTTCAGCCCAGTTATCTTGATCACAAAATATATAAGAAATGTTTTGCTGCCAGGGACACGCGCACTGGTACAGACGCTTGGTTCAATCTTGGTGGGTGATTCTAGGGCTGTATGCCAATATATCTGGGTACTGGTGTCAGCCCACTTCTGTAGTCCTATGTGGTGTCAAAAGTACACGTGGAGAGATCTTCTTAGCATACTGTGTTGGTTTTCTTTATCTGAACTCTGTTGTGATTAGGCTTCAGATTCTTTATGCCTGTCTCTGACCCCAATGACCTTATAGCTTTCAGCCCTGTTGACCTCTCTCTCTATTAAACTTTAATTTCCATTTCAAGTCCTTGGCTTGAACCTGACTCTGCTTCTGGTTTTCAACTCAGCCCCCCATATCTGCTGAACTAGTGCTGTAAAATACATTTTTATGTTACAATGTTATTGCTAGTGTATCATTTATACAAATACATTCTCCTTTCTAGCTGCAGTCTTCTCCATACTTTACAGCAGCGGTTCTCAACCTGGGGGTCGCGACCCCTTTGGGGGGGTCGAACGACCATTTCCCAGGGGTCGCCTAAGACCATCGGAAAACACATATTTCCGATGGTCTTAGGAACCGAGACACCGCTCCTCTGACTCAGGCGATCTGTGGGCGGGATGATACGCTGCCCTGTCACCTGGCCACACCTCCGAGATCACTCAACAGCTCCGCCTCCTCGCCGCTGATTGGCCACCGGAACTGTAGCTCAGCAGAGGCACACAGGCGGCCAATCACCGGCGAGAAGGTGGAGCTTGGAGAGGAGGAGCCGAGCGGCAGCGCGCGTAGATCTAAGAAGATCGACGGAGTTGCCGGAGTAAGTGAAGAGCAGAGCGGCCAGAGAAGGAAGACAGCTGACAGGTAAGTGAGAGAGCGAGCCCAGGCTGGAGCAGGGGTCAGCAAGGTAAGTATCATTGGTGTCAGTGGGAGGAATAGTGCCCCATCATTTGTGTCACTAATACCAACGATGGGGCACTATTCCTCCCCCCCCCACCGACACCAACGTTGGGGCACTATTCCTCCCCCCACCGACACCAACGATGGGGCACTATTCCTCCCCCCACCGACACCAACGATGGGGCACTATTTCCTCCCCCCACCGACACCAACGATGGGGCACTATTCCTCCCCCCACCGACACCAACGATGGGACACTATTCCTCCCCCCACCGACACCAACGATGGGCACTATTTCCCCCCCACCGACCCCAATGATGGGGCACTATTCCCCCCCCTGACCCCAATGATGGGGCACTATTCCTCCCCCTGACACCAATGATGGCACTATACCCCCCAATGACACCAATGATGGGGCACTATTCCCCCCACTGACACCAATGATGGGCACTATTCCCCCCACTGACACCAATGATGGGGCACTATTCCTCCCACCCAACGATGGGGCACTATTCTGACACCAATGATGGGGCACTATTCCCCCCACTGACACCAACGATGGGGCACTATTCCTCCCACTGACACCAACGATGGGGCACTATTCCTCCCACTGACACCAACGATGGGGCACTATTCCTCCCACTGACACCAACGATGGGGCACTATTCTTCCCACTGACACCAACGATGGGGCACTATTCTTCCCACTGACACCAACGATGGGGCACTATTCCTCCCACTGACACCAACGATGGGGCACTATTCCTCCCACTGACACCAACGATGGGACACTATTCATCCCACTGACATCAGTGATGGGGCACTACTCCTTCCACTGACACCAATGATGTGGCACTAGTCCTCCCACTGCAAAATTACAGTTATGAAGTAGCAACGAAAATAATTTTATGGTTGGGGGTCACCACAACATGAGGAACTGTATTAAGGGGTCGCGGCATTAGAAAGGTTGAGAACCACTGCTTTACAGCATGTCTGATATATCACCCAAGCAATGGGAATCCATACTCTGGAATGTAACCAATGCTCCAAATGCTGCACATGTTAGAGAGAATTACTGAGCAACATACATGTCATCAAGTATTTACTCTTCCTGACCACAGTATTAAACCAGAGCTTTTGGACTAAAGTTTCACCTTAAAGTAAAACTGTAGGCAAAACTTTTTTTTTTTTCATTTTGGATAGAGCAAGGGAGGGTTACCCCTGTCAGATTTTTTTTTTTTTTTTGCCATCTGTGTCCCATTGGGAGAGATTTTCCCTTCTTCACTACCTGTCCCATAGCCAAGTAAGTAAGAGGAAATCCCTATAAATTAAGGGAATTCCTTGGGGACCCCCAGGTCACCAGAACTAGTGTCCCCATAGGAATATTTTAATCTATTACTTTTCTGGGACAACCCAAAATTTGGCATTTTCTTTTACTTTCACTTTCAATTCTAGTGGTGAACAGGATAAATAGTGATGGAGAATCTCCTTAACGGGGACACGGACAGCAATACAAATCTGACAGGGGTTCTAATCCCTCTCTATTCTGTCTAAAACTAAAAAAACGTTGTACCATTAGTTATTTTTTTTTAGTTTCAGATAGAATGGAGAGGGTTAGAACCCTTCTGTGCCCTGTCACCCTCAATGGCCCCACCAACCTGAACAATTTAACACCCATCTCCCTGCTGCCATTTACCTCTAAACTCCTAGAACGCTTAGTCTATAATCGCCTGAGCTCCCACCTCACCGACAACAACCTTCTCGACCCTTTACAGTCTGGCTTCCGCCCTCTACACTCCACTGAAACTGCCCTACTAAAACTCAGTAATGATCTACTAACTGCTAAAACTATACAGTACTCTTACTACTCAACCCTCTCTGTGGCTTTTGATATGGTTGACCATCCCCCTCCTCCTCAAAAAACTACAATCTCTTGGCCTCAGAGACTCCACTCTCTCCTGGTTCTCCTCCTACCTATCACAGTGCTCCTTCAGTGTTACCTAGAACGCTGCCCACCTCATTTTCACTTCCTCTTTCTGTTGGGGTCCCTCAAGGTTCTGTCTTCGGACCCCTTCTCTTCTCCATCTACACCTCCTCCCTTGGTCAACTGATGAACTCCCATGGCTTCAATTACAATCTCTATGCTGATGACACACAAAGCTATCTGTCTACCCCTCACCTCACCCCTTCAGTCTCCACTCGCATTACCAGCCTACTAAGTGACATATCGGCATGGATGTCACTCCACTTCCTCAAACTCAATCTTTCCAAAACTGAGCTCTTAGTATTCCCCCCAGCCCCGCGCCACCCCCACTGACTTCTCCATCAAGATCAATAACACTATCATCAGTCAGTCCCCCCCCCATGCCAGGGTACTAGGTGTAATTCTAGACTCCCATCTGTCCTTTCAGCCCCAGGTCCAATCACTGACAAAAACGTGTAAACTTTACCTCCGCAACATCTCCAAGATACGCCCGTTCCTAACCCCGGAAACCACTAAGCAACTTATTCACTCCCTTGTCATATCACGCCTCGACTACTGTAACTCCCTCCTCACTGGCCTACCTCATCGCAGGCTATCCCCACTTCAGTCTATCATGAACGCTGCTGCCAGACTCATTCACCTTACTAACCACTCTGTATCTGCCACCCCTCTCTGCCAATCCCTCCACTGGCTCCCAGTTGCCAAACGGATAAAATTCAAAACACTAACACTGACGTACAAAGCCGTTCGTAACACTGCCCCTAATTACATCACCGATCTTGTCTCTAAATATCACCCAAACCGCTCCTTGCAAGACCTCCTACTCTCTAGCTCCCTTGTCTCCTCCTCCCATGCTCCTCTCCAGGACTTCTCCAGGGCTTCCCCCATCCTCTGGAACTCCCTACCCCAATCTATCAGACTATCTCTTCAGGGAAGCCTACCCCGTTCTCAGCTAATACTGGAATCCTCTACTCTTCCAACCACTCCATCCCCCACAGTTATCACCTTTTGTACCACTAACCCCTCCCTCCTAGATTGTAAGCTCCAAGGAGCAGGGCCCTCTAATCCCTCTTGTTTTGAATTGTAGTGTTACTGTATTGTCTCCCACTATAATATAAAGCGCTGAGCAAACTGTTGGCGCTATATAAATCCTGTATAATACTAATAATATTTATAGACTTGGTGACTTGGTGACCAATGTCCCCAAGAGTAAAAGAATATCCCACATTTTGAGTTGTCATCAGGAATAGAGGGGGAATCTTTCAATAGGTACCCTAGTTCTGGTGATCATGGTGACTATCAAGGATTCACTCATTTTGGGGGATTTTTTTTCACCTGTGTTGGCTATGGGACAGGAAATAAGGAGAAACCTCCCCAATAGGACACAGATGGTAAAAAAACAGACAGGGGCTATAACCCTCCCTTTTTCTATTCAAAATGAAAAAAAAAAATGCCTTTAGTTCTATTTTGTCCGTTACATCAGTTGCCATATGTTGTGCAAATACATGTCACATCAGGAGAGTAACCCTGAGAAGCATCCTTTGATTACCATACAGCCAGATGTACTGCATACTGCACATGGTACTGTTCTCCAGAATGCATCTATGTACAGTATGTGTTGTCATTTATATGAATGATTTGTAATTCCAGAGCAATAGCCTTATAAAGATGGGACTGTGCTGTGCACTGTGCAGGGTAGTTGCATTGTTTTAATTGGTATAAGGCTTGATTTACACTACTGCGACCTGAAAGTCACGCAACTTACTGTGCGACTTTGCCAGGTGACTTCCTGGTGATTTGCTGGTGACTTGATGCGACTTGAGTACAGATTTAATGCAACTTGATGCATGACTTTCTCGTCACGTGACTTTGCCGGGTAATCTTCCAGTAATGTTGGATCCAAATCACACACATATCTATATAATATAGATGTGGATCCGACTTGGAAGCTACTTCCATTAAAGTCTATGGGCACAAGTCGGATAGAAGTTGGCTTGAAGTAGTACAGGAATCTTTTCCAAAGTCAGAACGGCTTCAGTAGTGCTAATTAAGACATCTTTCATTGACTAACATGGGATTGCATGTCATGTGACTTGGGGTCTCATAAGTCGGATCAGTGTGAACCGAGCCTTAGGGCTCATGTACACTGCAGCTGATAAACTCACGTTTAGGAGCTGTTCAGCACTTTTTTCAGCAGCACCTGAACTCACCCTAATGTTTTCCTATGTGTCCATGTACACATCTTCGTTTACAGTAGTTCTTTTGAACGTAGAAAACTTGCGTTCAGCAGTCGATTTTATCAGCGTTTCAAACGCAAAACGCTTGTAAACGCAGGCTAAACGCGTCTAAATGAGGCAGAACGCGTTTATCATTTTTTTCTAACTCTTCCAGTTCCCAATGCTGTCCAGAGACTTTTTTCATCATGAAAAATGCATGCAAAGCAATTTAAAGGTAACAAAAGATATGTTATGCCCATTCACACCTCAAATTCCTCATGAAGGCACCCTGCCAGGTGACCTTAATGACTCACTCCACCAGACACCTTTCCCACCCTTGGAAACAAAAGAAATGTTATTAAGCAATTCACACCTAATTATCTCAACACATACTGCTCTCTCTGCTTCTACTCTCTGTATTTCTCTGAAACAGTCTGAAATAGTTAACAATTTACCACTTTTCAGTGCATTCTGGGCATTTGGGAGGTTATCCTGTGCTTATCTTTAAAAAACGCTTCTAAACGCAAATGCGCATAAACGCGTTATGCAAACTCAGCTAAACAGACGTTTTTTTAACCTACATTTTCCAGCAGTTTCCATCGTTCAGAAGTGTCCCGTGTACATGGGGCCTTAGGGCTCATGTACACTGCAGCTCCTAAACTGACGTTCAGGAGCTGTTCAGCGGGTTTTTCAGCAGCCCCTGAACTTTCCCTATTTTTTTTCCTATGTGCCCATGTACACATAGTTGTTTACAGTCATTTAGTTGAGTTTACAGTCATTTTTTTGAACGCACCAAACTTGCGTTCAGGAGTAGATTTTACCGGCGTTTCAAACGCCAAACGCTTGTAAACACGTGTAAACGCTTGTAAACACGGTTAACCGCATTTATAAGTGTTTGCGTTTAGAAGCTTTTTTTAACTGTTCCATGTCCAGATGCTGTCCAGAGCCTCTTTTCATCATCAGAAATGCATGCAAAGCGCTTTCCATGTAATGGACCTGGTACACCATGTCACGATCGTGGCGTCAGACCCCAGACCTTCTCACCAAACTCGTGACCGAAGGACTAGCTAATCTAAAACCGCGATGTGACGTGTGTAACAATGCCACACCCAGCTGCACCCTGCAC